AATTTTTATTAGGCTGACTTATACTCCAAACTTATCTAGCACTTGATAAATACGTTTTCCTGAATGTCACTTGCGTCTTGCTGTAAAACCTTTGTTTGTACTACTTTTGTTTTAGCTACTTACTATGAGGGATGGTTCAACATAAACACAAACTAATCTGTAAAATAAAACGGTTTTGTTTTTGTCTTATCTGTGTCTCTTCTCACTGGTTTAAAGTGTGCCAGGCTCTGTTGGAAAAATGAGATGTCAGATATTTCCAAGCACCAATCACATATGAATCAAAATCTGTCCCCAGTGGGGTTGTTACCTAATGTTGTCAATCAAATCTAATCAACGCAGTCCTGATGGAGAATAGCTGCATCTTTGGCAAAGAAAGAGTGTTGCTTATTAAGAATTATAAATATTTAATTTCATACAGAATTACTCAACATTTAAAAATTTTCAGGTATTGTTTTTAGTTTTCAGCTCCTCTTATTCTGCTTCATGAGACTACTTCCCAACAATGAATCTACAGCACATGAAACCACTCTCTCACACAGTCTTCATTCTCTACTCTCATAACCAGTAATGGGAATAACAATGTGCCCAGGAATGCATTATATTCCGAGCTATACCTTATGAGATATATCACTGAAACTCTCCTTTATATTTTCCCTGAGATGCCTCTCCAGGCAATATATTTTTGAAATACTGCAGGAGACGGATGCATGTGCTCTGAGGTGGGCGCTGCATTATGAAAGGCACTGGGACATATACTGTATATTCAATAACCCAAATGTATTTTGAACTAATTACAATACAGAGTGTTTATTCTGTGGGCGAGTCATAGTGTACAATATGTGTTGTCGTCAGAATAAACAAGAGCAAGAAATGCCTTTTTCTAATTTTTTGGTCAACTGACAATTACTGCGTCGTAAAATTGTAAATGTTATAACCTTATAAACACAGACAGAGTGTAATTAGAGTATTAGGATGACTGTAAACCCTGGCAGTAATTATGAGGGTGTCAATGTAGGGGGAACCTGCATGTGAAAATGTGTGTGTGTGTGAGTGTGTGTGCAATCTCCAGCGCACAGGGGGAAACAGTAGTGGTGGGGACGTAGAGGTGGGGGATGCGGCCCACCACCACCACCACAGTGCCCTTGTTCCTTTAATTACTTCCCTCTGCTTCACAGCTTCACTGCATAACAATTATCCTGCGTGTTCATTTGAAGGGAGCAGACCCTCTCTCTTCATATTGTACAGTAATGGACAAGCTCTGGTGTCAGCAACATCACTCGATGTACAGAGAACACTAGTGGGAGCCATTAAATTAGACTCAGGCTAATACAACTGTCTTCTACCTCTCTTTTTCCTGCCTCTTAAACAACAAACAAGCACCGAAGTTGCCCGTGGCATCGCTCATAGCAAATGTGAAGTTTTTCCTTTTCCTCCCTGCATTGCATCTTTCAAGCTAAACGTATGTGGCAAACGTATAATAGTAAGAAATTAGGAAATGGCAAAGTTATGTACTAATTCACAAATCCAGCTGATGTCCCACTACTGTTCTAATCAATTATGCACTCAATTATTGTTTGTTTTGGTGTGTGCTCACTTTTTGTGTCCATGCAAAGGACACACACACGCACCTGTGCACACATACCACAGGCGGATGGGAAGGGGTTGGGCCTTTTGCAGTCTATTGGAGTCTAATTCAAGCAGATGTCTGTTTAATTGATCGAAACAAATTACCTCAACATTGATCCATGTCCCGGCGTAGGGACTGACTGGCTTTTTGGAGGTGCACTGCGTGTGTGTGTGTGTGGTGTGTGTATGTGTGCGCGTCTGGGGCTGGGTGAAGCTCCTCGGTTTTGACCCACTCACAGAGAATGTACGACTTAATCGCTAAATGATAAATCGTAATTTGGTTTCTGATTATGCTGTGTGTTGCCTTAATCGATTTTCAGTTTAAATCATCATTCTCACATTAAAAAGCTGGGCCAATTAACTAATTGACTTTTAAGGCTCATAATTATGAGTAATTTATTAGGTTTATTAAGTCATTTATTATCAGAGCCTTATCTTTTTTTCAATCATCTGTTGTCAGCTGTCTTTTTCCTTTTTCTTGAGAGTAATTTGTTTGCCATGATTTCAGTGACACATTTACTGTGCAGCACATGTTCCATCTCTAATAAGCCCAGCACATTTTAACACAGTCTTGTGATGACTGAGTGCATGAGCAGTTGCCAGTGCAAGCTGTGAAATTACACATTTGCCTTGGCTTTAGCCCACTGCTGATACAACAAATAAAATCTGCTTCTACAGTTTGAGAAACAAATCAGTGACCCACTGCTCTCAGTACAGATACATTATATCCATGTAATGTGTACATATTAGAAAAAAGAACATAAACAGCCGGATGAATCAATACTGTGGCTGGCAATGCTGGTGATAGTATATATATTCCATTGCAACTTGCCGAGTGTTTGTGTGTCCATAGACACATTTAATTTACATTACACCTGCACATGTGATGGCGTATGTGTGTGTATTTTATGTGTGTGCTTATTGTTTGAAGAATGACTTTGGAGGGTTCAGATGTACATTCCTCCTGAGATTCACTTTAGAGACATAAACATAGAGGGGGATATAATAGGCTGTGTCTGTGTCCTTGTATCAGGGCGAGACGACACATACATTACCACTCCACCGCATCTGTTTCAACTTCCATTACTCTTTACCCCTATTATATTGCGTGGATTGCGGCTGATGCACACTTACTATAAACATGATTAAAACAGAAAAAAAAATACTGACTATAAACTCTGTGACACTTAAAATAAAACTCCTGACTTTACAATCTCATCCCGCCTTCCTGCACACACCTGCTCTCCCTTTCTTCTATCATGCACATACTGTACAGGTGTACAGTCCACGGATACATGCTAACAATCCACGCGTTTATGTTTTGTGCACACACACACGCACACTCACACAATCAGAGAGAAACTAAACTATCCCAAGACCACAAAAACATTATAAAGCAAAGGGCCTCATTTCTTGCCCTTTCTTCTATTACTAAACAATCACCAGCCACACAAAGCTTCAGAAACCTGATTAAAATTACATTCACACATAATTCACATTTCTAAATTGAACAAATACAAAAAGAATATTTTATATATTATTTTATTTTAATTTGTCTATATTTGGTCCTAAGTCATCATCACTGTCGTGTTTCTACACTGAACATCCTACTGCAAACATTTTCTGCAAATTAGGCTTTTGTTGCAGATGCATATTCTGTTCAGCTATACAAGCTATTGTTGCTAATTGCAAAATGTCCACTTCTCCTTCTTTATCTTCTTCTTTTTATTTCAAACCCTTCTTATCAATATAAGGGCAGCACACATACACAACGGTTTTATTCCACACACAAACTGGTGTTTCTTAAAACGGCAGTGAGAATCAGACCTCACACTTCAGACCATCGTATACATTTTTCTACTGAGTAAGGTGAAAAATAAGGTGGGTTGGCCAATTTCATTGAATGTGTCAGTAAAATGCACATCAAAAGCGTATCTTTCTTCATAAATGTTGATCAATTCTGTTATTATATTTACTTACGCTGCAGGCATTATTTATTCCCTATATGTTTAGGATCATTTCATTTTAACCTGTGTTACGAAGTCTTTTTCAATATGCGCACTGTGAACAAAATCGTGAATTACCTTCCTGACGTGATTGAGATATTGCTGATACATGTGATGACCTAATATTACGGGTGCTGAAAAACAGCCGTACGAAATGGATTCAGGATTAAAACAGTGCAGGAGGCTCCTGTGTTGTTTAATGTACCAATGAGACAATGAAATATGATCCAGATTACCGGTGTGTAATACTCACAGACAGAAGTTTATAACTCTAGAAACTATTTGATCTTTTGTCCGGACGATTGCGAGGTTAACAGTAGAAAAACAGCATTTATGTTACAAAGTCATCTAACAGCAATGTGTGCTTGCTTGCATTTGATTGGCCAGAACCTTACCAGATGACGTCACGTTGCATTGCAGCAAAAGCTGAGCCAGATTAAATATTTTGTCAGGTGACCCGGGTTTCTTTTGATGGATCCCTGTGAGTTGGTACCGGCAATACGTTGACGGATTGGTTCCATTCAAATGAATGAGGCGGTTGCTTTTTTTCAAGCAGGGTTGAAGTCGGTCTGAATGCGGCCTAGCTGTGGAAATGAGGCTCTTGCGCATACACCCAGTTCCACAATGTTTGATATTTATAAAATAGAAGCATGCGTAGCGTACACAAGGCTTTATAAATCTGGCGAAAACAAACATGTGCATATCTCTGTCTGAGTTATAGTCGTGAACCTACACGACATACACAAGAGTTTTATGCAAATTAGGTTGATTGACTATTGTGCTTTATCTGTAGTTGACAGAGTGGTAAATCAAACATTCATTTACACATACATACAGTCAGCTGTACTGTAGA